GTTAAGCTGGATTGACTACCTTCAGAACCAAGTAGGCCTAGAGTGCCAATAACTTGGGATGATAAATCAATGAAGTCATGACCCGAATATATCTACCCGATTAAGATTTTCTTACATTTTTATCAGTCCCTTTTAAGCTCAATATATTCTTTGATACCTCATTCATGTCGTCTCATAATCTCTAATTGCTAATCGGGCACCACCCGTTTAGGATATGATGTTTTCCCTCTCTCATTCATGTCGTCTCATAATCTCTAATTGCTAATAGGGCACCCGTTTAGGATATGATGTTTTCCCTCAGTCCTTAAAGTCCGGTATAGGCCTTGAAGCATAGTGTGGATTCAACAAAAAATGACATGGTAATTTCTTATGCCTCACTTGCCATCCATAAACCCCCTTGCCTTTTGGGATGTGAGGGACTCACCCTCTCCCCCTGCGACTTAGTGTAGGCTTTGGAAGCATCTAGAAGTTCCTATTATTGACAGTTTTATTGGGTATTCCTCAAGATGTAAGTAAGCAAAGATACACGTTCCTTTGAGAGTTTTTTTGAACTAGAACAAAATATTAATTTTATTTCCTTGCTTTTATAGGTCACTTATGCAGGGGACTTCTTCATGGATATGTGGTTCAAGGTATCTTGATCCGATCTCTTTTTAGAAATACATTTTTTACCTATCATATGAGGATATTCTTTTATAAATTCTACATCCTTTTAAACTTAATTTGTTTGCATGAGTTCATCTTATTTTACTTCTTTTGAGCTCTCTTCTTTCTCTGAATCATCTCGATGTTCAAGAAAAATGATTATTTGGAAAAGAGAATTATAAGATGATACTCAAACAAACTGGTGACTCCGATTTCAAAAAGAATCAAAATAAAGTTGATACAACCTCTCGAAAAGTATTGACCAGAGGCCAATACAAGATAACTTATAGGTTGTTGGTGAGTCCACTATCATGAAGTTTATTGTGGTTCAAAATTTCTTGTCGCCTTCCCCTAAGTGATTGGTAGGGCTAAAGCCCAAAGCACTTTCTTCCTTTCTCCCGAAAAAACCGTAGAGTGACCTAGAGGCGGGCGAGAGGCTGGAGGAGCCAAAACCCATCTTATCAAAGATTGCCCTGAAGATGATGTTTATAGAGCTCCCAGAGTCTATGAGTACACTTTCAATCAAAAAGTTAGAGAAAAGGGTGGTTACAACTATAATGTCATTGTAGGGATTTCATTCAGCAGACAAGTCATCATGGTGTTGTGAGATTGGTCGTGGGGTCAGGGATGCCTAACAAACTTTTGAGTGAAGTCTCATTAAGCTGACCCATGACACCAGTAATGTTGATAGATTAAACCTAAGCAAGTTCGATGAGGTATCTTTTGGCTGACAAATCTCTCTGTCCTCGAGCCACCTTCTTAGGTGCCACAAATTCTTTAGGCTTCCCAACTTTGATTAAATCCTTAATCAAGTTAGGGATGCATTGGCATTACTCCATGTCATGTCTATGATCCCTCTGATGTGCACAATATTTTTTGGGTTCTCAAAAATATCCTTCCATCTTAATTGATGGCGCTCTTTTGAAGAAGTCTTTATTCTAGATGGCTTGCATTACTTATGTCATGGAGACTCTTAATGGTGAGAGTTGAGGAAGTTTGTAGGTTGGTGATGGAAGCCTCCTTTTGTCACGCTGATTTATCCTCGTGCTAGATATGATCAATCTTGATATTAAACCTCTTTATATGGTGTCCACTCCTCTGGCGATGACCACAACTTCTTGAACCGGGCCTAGTGGGCGGAAGTGGATTTTTCCATGGCCCACAACCTCTTTCATCAGTGCTTCTCTTTAGTGGGTATTGACCGTGTGACCCTGTTTTGGTAGAGTGGGGGGAATTATATTCTTTAGTGGATATATGATTCTTAGTATGTTTCAGTACCTCAACCAATGTTTTGAGCTATGATAGGCCTAAGTCGTAGCGAAATGGGCCTTCCTTGAATCTTTATGCCAAGGTATCATGCATGACCATAGGTTTGAGGTCCCAGACTTCCAACATTTTCCTCTGGAAGTGGGTTACGAATGCACGCAAGGATTTGACTTGCCCTTAGCACAATTGTAGGATAGCTTATGAATTTCTATGGCATTTTTGTGTGCTAGCGGACATATCTACAAACATTCTCTTGAAATATGTGTAGGAAGTAATCACTCTCGACAGTAGAACATTGAAAAAATGAAGGGAAGACTCTCTATGTGTTGTAAAGAATAGGTGACACTTGAGCGCATCACCGATTCTTAATAAGCACATGGTCAACTCGAAAGAGGTGATAAGATCAGCTAGATCTAACCTCCCCCAATAAGATTCTGTAGACGGGATTTTGAAGCAATCCAGGGGTTCTACTTTGAAGATTTGTCAGGAGAAGGCGTCTTTCGACAGTATGGGTCGTGGTGCTTCTACACTTTCATATCTCTGATGGTCGAGCAACAAAAAAACCCGAGTTGTCAGGGTAGTGTCTGTTTTGATCTTGTTCGGGGGCTCTTTCAACATTCAAAGCAGTTGACCTTCACGGGTGATGGGGCATCGCTAGTCTTTGAGGTTGCTCTCTCTCTCTCGGAGGCAAGAATGCTTCCATTGCCTACATCTTTTGTTGAGTCACAAACTAGTTAGTACAAGTCATATTGTCAGTGATATCTCAACGTTGGGCTTCTTCTCCTTGAGTTAATCCGCTTTTTGTTTACGGCATGTTCCACACTCACTGTGCATTTTAAGGTATTGAACCTAAAATTGTCTGTATATCACACCCAAGGAATAGACTGTAGGAAGGAGAGGGCATAAAGAGTAAAAAAAGTGTTGTATTATTATTTATCAAAAAAAAGTCTTTGCATTTTGCTGTTCTTATATTCTTAAGTAGTTAGAGCTATTTTGTGAAATGTCGATAATGCCCCTATCATTTTGAGCTATCAGTCAATCGTTGCCATTCGTCTTGGGGGTAGCCGTGAAGGCGATCAGACCATCACTTGTCAATTTTTTACATCTTATCTTTAAATTGGTGAGACGGTTGCCATGGTGAGATATCCATTCTTTTCCCTTGGTTGCCTTCTTTGATTGAGTCGATCGATTTGTTTTCCTACTGTCGGCTTTCCAAGACTCCTTCCATCCCCCAAATTTGGCCCCATAATAATTGTCTCACTTGGGACCGTTTGATTTGGTTTGACATATTTTGATCACACAACCTTGAATTTAATGTTATATCTTATATTATTAATTGTCGAAATATATAAATTTGAAAAAAAAAAATTCAAGCATATTTTTCTAAAACAATATAAAAATTTGGTCAATTATACAATTTTTGGGCATTTTTTCACAACTAAGATTAAAATTATCAATTTCTCATAGTCTTAAATTTAACAATTCTTTTAAAAATTTTTCAAATAAGTTTGTTTTTTATTTTTTTATATAAAATGAATAAACAAAAAATAACCTTTTAAACCATATTTTATACCTTCAAATAACTAGCCCAAAGAAGAATTGTTCAAGATTAGTTTTTGAGTTGGGTCATCTTCTTAATCCCACGAAGTTCTTTTAGCTTCGAGGAAGAACTGGTGGCGGCTTGTGGTTGTTTGGCTGTAAAATTTATAAATTTAAATTTATGCTAGATTTAATAAAATTTATAAATTTAAATTTATGCTAGATTTAATAAAATTTATAAATTTAAATTTAATAAATTTTGAAGTATTTAAATCATAAAAATTATTTGATAAAACACAAGTTAAATCCGATTAAATCTGTTTGGTAACTTGAGTGAGTTTAATGTTATACATTAATTATTAAGTTTAATTAAATTTAACTTATATTTTTTATTTATAATTATGCTATTTAATAATTAAGTATTTATTAAATGAATTAATCATTAATAAAATTTTTGTAAACTAATTATGTTAAATAATAGGAGTTTTTACATGTGAATATAAAGGTTCTAAAAAATTAAATTTTCAGATGAAGGCCTTCCGTTACGATGTCGGTCGCCTTCGTTGGTCGGTCGCCTCCGTTGGAATGACCTTTAGCCGTAAATTTAATTTTTGTGATCTTTATATCTAATAAAGATTATTTGGGGACCACCATATATATAAATCTTATATTATTATATAATAATAATAAGTTAACATTCATTGATTAATTATACATAAGTTAGTTAATAATTGTTAGAATTTTATTAAATTAATTAAATTGACTACATAGTTTATTATTAATAATTAATTATTAAATTATTACACATAAATTTATCTAATTATAATTAGTTTGATAACATATTAATTTGTTATTAATTATTCAACAATTAAACTAATTCAAATCAAATTAACTTAAGAAAGATTTACTTACCTACCACAATTCCTATATATTTACATATATAACATTTAAATTTCAATTTCATACTTTCATCCCATTTTTTCTATTTTATATATAAAAAAATGTATTTTACTTTTCCAAGTTAAATTGGTGATATTGTTGAAGTAATAGGAAATATTTAGGGGATATAAATGTCAAAATCAGTATTTATATGTCAAGTTGAGTAATTTGTATGCATTTTAAATACTCATAAATAGGAGTATCAATTTGAGTTTGTGGGTTGGGTTCGGATTCGACTTGAAAATGAACTGACCCGACTATGATCAACTAACCTGATCAAAATGATAAATTGGTCGAAAATCAATGCCCATAAATATGAGTGTCAAATTTTATATGCCCATAAATATGAGTGTCAATTCGAGTCAGTGGATTGGATTCGGATCTGACTTGAAAATGAGTTGACTTGTTTATGATCAACTTGAACCCGATCAAAATGATAAATTGGCCGAAATTAATACCCGAAATCGATCCAAACCCGCTAACCAGAACTTTCATATTTATCTCATTCGGGTCATATTTAAATTTTTTGATTTAACTCAAATCCGACCCGAACTCAAAAATAATCGGGCCAAATTTAACCTAAAATCTTGAAATAAGTTTGTGCTGCAAGGTCAACTTTTAACCAGCCGTAAAACTCCCCTAAACCCTCGAAGAGGTCGCTGCCGCCTCTCCCTTCATCTCCGTCACCGAAGAGTCGCGCGGTTAAAGCTAGCCGGGAGGAGAACGACGGGATGTCGGCAAACAAAGTACTCTGAAGCTCCCATCTTTCACCTCCTTCCAGTCCGCTCCTACCCGAAACCATAGAGAAAGGTATAGCTCGTCTTTCTCACCCTTCCTTCCCCGCCCTCGATTGCTTCAACTTCTCTAAATCTTCTAAATCAGTCACCCTAAATCCTTGATTGAAGTCAAAACGGAGGAAAAACGGGATTATAGTACTTAAGTTGTCATTTTTGTTGTCTGGCAGGATTTTTAGGTTAAATCCTGTGTAAATCTTGCTACCAAACAGCTCCTAAACTTGAAAAATGCGGCCGCTGGACGAGAAGGAAACAACGGCGATATTTGAAAAGCTTTTCAAGTTCACCGGCCCCAATCTGAAACAGATCGTTGATCGGCCGGCGACGGAGGGACCGGACGATCCCCCAGGCCGCTACTGTTTCCGCCTCCACAAAAACCGCGTATATTACGCGAGCGAATCTCTCGTACGCCGCGCCACCAATATCTCCGGTGATAAACTTGTCTCTCTTGGCACTTGCATTGGCAAGTACACCCACTCTGGTGCTTTCCGTTTAACGATTCAGTCTCTCGATCTTCTCGCCGCCCACGCTCGCCACAAGGTATGGCTTAAACCAACCGCCGAAATGTCCTTCCTTTACGGCAACGCCGTCCTCAAGGGTGGACTAGCTCGGATAACCGATAATACCCATGCTGGCGACGGAGTTGTGGTGTTTTCCATGTCGGATGTGCCGTTAGGGTTCGGAGTGGCCGCGAGGTCCACACAGGATTGCCGGAAGGCCGATGCCAATGCCATTGTTGTAAATCATCAGGCGGATGTTGGAGAATACCTTCGGAATGAGGGGGAGCTCTGAGGTAGCCTGTGCTGTTTTATTTAAGTTTGAATTTTACTGAAGTATCATAAAGTTGTTTATTTTTTGTTTGGTTTATTCACTAGGTGCGGATCTGTGTTTGGTATTAGAGAGAGATTCTATGAATTTATGGTGTCTATTTTCAGGAATGCTTCTACTCAATAGGTTAATCCTTTTTTGAAGGGTTGTTTTTTTAATAAAGCGTGAAACTTGTTTGGAAATTGGCCTGACTCTATTGCCTTCTGTCTAGGCTGTTAGATATTTTTACCTGCGTGTGACATAAAATGAATATCAAGCATTTACATGTGTTAAATTAAGCTCGTGTGATCCTAATAGTGATAAGGCTAATGATATTGATGATCTCATTCTAGGTGCTTATGCTGGACGGATTTAGTGCTTGCTTTTCTTCTAAATTTCTCATGCCATGCCATGCCATGCAGTTTTAGATTATGAAAATTATACTGTAAATTGTTTTTTAGGATGTATTTTGACTAGATTATGGGTGTTATAAACACATTGTTAACTTATATCTTGTCCATATAGCATAAATTTAACTAAATTGTAGGAGATTTGTTCTATTATTATTATTTTTTAATTATAATCCTTGTATTATTTTTTATGCTATTAGGAATTGTTGCAAAGAGTCATACTTATTAAGGAATTTTAGGTGCTACTTGGAATGTGAATCTAGTTAGGAGTTAACTGTGATTTAGGGTAATGCTATGTAGTTCCTGGGCTGTGTTAATCTTATTGTTTGGCAAAATCCCATTTGGGTTTAGTGAAAGTGTGAAACTTCTTTGGAAATTGACCTGACTTTATTATTGAAATTGCCTCTTGTATACGCTGTTAGATATTCTTACCTGCATGTGACATAAGATTAGAAACAAGCATTTATATGTGTTAAATTAAGATTGGTGTGGCCCCTATAAGGTTAATAATATTGATGATCTCATCCTAGATGCCTATGCATGACCGATTTAGTGCTTTCATTTCCTCTAATTCTGTCATGCCATGCCATGCAGTTTTAGGCTATGAAAAATGTTTTTTAGAATGCATTTTGACTAAATTTTGTGTGGTATGAGAAAAACATTGTAAACTTGTATTTTGTTCATTGGAACATAAATTTTACCACATTGTAGGAGATTTGTTCGGTTATTGTGTTTTTATTATTATAATTCTTCTATTTTTTTTTATGCACTTAAGAATTGTTGCAAAGAATCATATACATTAAGGAATTAAAGAATTGTTAACCATGATATATGGTAAATTTTGGATATAGTTCTTGGGGTTTGTAAATTTTATTTTGTGGTTAAATCCCATTTGGGATGGAAATAGCATTTTTTTGTTGGTGTTGTCCTATATTATCGCCTTCTTCTTAACCCCAAGTCCCTCTTTCCTTCCTTGCTTTCTTGTTGCCATTGTGTGAGAATCCTTGTTAGTAAAATACCCTTTTTTCTTTTCTCTTTTGCTTTATGCTAGCTTGTGATCATCTTCATCCTTTAGAGTTTTTGCCGCTGGCCATTACTTTTTTTTGTTATCGCTATTGGTTACCCTTTTTACGCCACTTTATTAGCTTGCCCATTACTAGCTTGTAGCTATCATGCTTTTAGTCACTTTAATTTGAGCTGGAGTTTTATATATGTATATCAGATTTTTTTGGATTAAATTCGGTTAAACATATCCATTTAAATCTGTTCAGGATTTAAAACCCTGCGGATGCACTTAATATGGATGCATTGGATTTAGTAAATTTTGCTTGAATTAAATCATACTTGTAGGAAAAAAACTTATTAAAAATATTAAAACTTAAAGGAAACATTTTTTTCCCCATAGTTTGAAAGTCTCAATTTCATGGTCTTAAAAATGCTTTAGATGTTGATTTGAGAAATTATTCAATGTGTTTTAATGAAGAAATTATTTTATGTGAACATACTTAGCAATCTTATGAGTTATTTTGTAGTTTGATAAAAAAAATGAAGTTGAATTAATTTTGAAAAAGATGCATACATATAAGGCCTTAAGTTCATATAACTATTAAGGTTTGAAGATTTATGGGGGCATTTTAGTTATTTTAGATGACAAATTTTTAATGGATGTTTGTATACAAAGAGGATGCCAATGATTGATGAAAAATATTTTTGTACCAAATTTAATAATAATAAAGGGGATATTCGTGATTGTCTTAATCATTTTCGAGTCATATTTATGAGTCATAATAAAGTTTTGTGAGATATTTATGAATTATAGGTTTTGAAAGGTTATGCCAAATTTTGAATTTTTTCATTGGTATTGAGGCAATAATAGTGTAGTCGTGTAGGCCTGTAATATCTAATGACCAAATGGTGTGGGGGTTTAGAATGGTGATTTTGCAATTGTACTTTTTTGGGCCTACATGTACATGCCAAAAATTTTTGTAATGATATGCATGCACATATTGCTCATCAACTCTGGTTTTGGCCATGGATTGGATCTCATTATAGAAGAGCATCCTTCTTTCAACTGCGAAGAAGAATGTGTTCTCTAAGGATACACAGAATAAGATATATTTCAGTGAGTTAACAGATCTGATTTCACCAGACAGATCACATTTAAACTTTTCATTACTTCATGTTGTTTGTTTAATGGTTGGTGATCTTATTTCAACTGACAGTGTTTTAATACTTCTCCATCATTGTCATGGTACCATCATTAGAAATTTTGGGTTCATGCTTTTATATAATTTTTCTGATGTTAGATCTTATAATCAGTTATTTATAATATTGCCCCATGTTGTGTTCATGCATTTAGTGCAGCTTTAGCAACATAAACTAGAAGCAACAAATATTTTTACAAAAGCTAAGACTAAAATCTGTAATGCACAATTTTATCTTACACAAACAATGGCCGAACAATAAATAAGAGTTACATTTACTAGCAAATGTGATAAAAATATTTTTTTTTTATATAAAATTTTTGTTGAGAACAGTTAGATTAAAGAGGTTCAACCGCCATATTTGAGTTGACGAGAAAATAACCACCACCTAATAATAAGCGTAATATACAACAAAGCAATACCTGCTTGTTTTGAAATTTAGAATTACAGAGATGTTTTTGTCTGTAGAAAATCTGAAACAAATGCTCTGCTGAGCATGCCCCCTTTTCATACATTCTGCTAAGGCTACATTGTCATCTAACCGAAAAGGAAATTGCATACCAGACGATTCTTGTCTATTTACATACCTAGCACCTAAAGTTTAGTTTTTTATATTTATATCACTACCCATGCATGAAAAAATATATATAACCTTATAAAATCTGAAACAAATGCTATGCTGAGCTGTGCGCCCTCTTCAGCCATTCTGCTAAGGCTACAAAATTATCTAACCGAAAAAGAAATTGAATACCATACAATTCTTATCTATTTACATACATATCACCTAAAGTTTAGTTTTTTATATCTATATCACTATCTATGCATGAAAAGCTGTATTTCATCTTTTAAAAGTTAGTAATAGTGAGATTTTTGATGTGATGTGAAAGATTTGAATGTTATAAATTTAAAAATAAAAACTTATTCAATTTCAGCCAGTTAAATGATTTATAACAACTGAAGTGAATTGGTTTGGTTTTTTGTGGAGTTAAGAACTTGAAGAGTGGCAATGAATCTTAGTCCGCTGAACATATTAACAATTGTTTAACATTTTTTTCCTTCGCCTTATATTATAGTAATAATATATCTTCTCTGTAAATTGGGCACTTTAAGCCACATGAGTCTTTTGACGTCTTGTTTTTTCATTGGCCATCCTTGAGCTCTTCTACGTGCTTTGTAGGATGGCCATGCTTGAGCTCTTCTACGTGCTTTGCAGGATAGCTTATTGTCGTTCACTGTCATTGTTGGCCTTTGGGAGCCATTGATTGCTCTAATTACTGCTAATCATTACTATTCATTTTCGTGATTAGAGGCATATTTTATGAGTATCATTGTGTTTTTCATCATATTTGAAAATGTATGCAACAAGCGTGACTATTATTTTTTATTTTCATCTGGTTTCATACATGCAAATTTTCTTTTATATGATAATTTTCTCCACGTAAAAGTTTTCATTGAGTTCTTATTTTATGAAATGAAACATGGGAACGTTCAGATCGTTGAAATGATTCAAATGGATCCATTCACGGCCAAATAAGACCTATTTTATAGTTTTCTCAAGACATCTATTCAACTGCCTAGATTTTTCTTTTTTGTGCTAAATCTAAGTTCCATAACTGTTCAACCGTTGAGTAAATGGATACACCTACAAAAATAATATCATCAGCAAAAAGCATATACAAAGCATATTATAAGTACAAAATCCAAAACATGAAGTTTTACTCATTTCAAGCGAAAGGCACATGTAATCAAGAGCAAATCAATAAAATAGGCATCTTTAAGAGTACAGGCAAAGCGAAGCTGAAAGGAAATTTGCATGAGAAAAAATGTCAATGAAAATATGGGGCTATAGAAGTTTATGTAAGAATAGATAAAGAAATACAAAACAAAAAGTTAGCATTGGTAAATATTAAGACGAAAGAGTAAATATTAGAAGTCAAAATCAACCTTATGTGAAGATGCTTTTTATCAATTAAACTTCCCATGTTGCTGATTGAAACTATTAAGTTCTTCTAATTTTAATTCCTTATTTTTTAAAATCTAATGAAATCTGCTATGAAAAAGAGCTTCTTGACCGATAAAAAAGAGATAGAGATCTATATTGATCTTTGATTTAACTGTACCAATTAAAAACAAGTTTGCAACCAGTATCAATACAATCACTGCATCAAACATAGTTTTACTAAATCCTACAGACCATCACTGCACCTTTAATACACAACAGCCCCACGAAATTAATTCTCAATGCACTTGATAATATATCTTTTCAAATTCAGTAAAACACATAAAGTATCCTTCCACTTTTCTCTAAGTTATTTTATTAGCTCAAAATTTGTTCCTTACAAATAGGGGTGTGGACGAGCCGAACACACTCGTTTATATTTCGAGCTCAAAAAGTGTGTTAGTGTTTGACTCTCGTTTGCTTAGCGAGCGCTTAGCGAGCCGAACATGAGTCGTTTACGAACAAAGAGTCGTTTTGACAACCCTAATCACACAGCCATAAGGTGTTAAGTATTAAGACAAGATTTAAAACATCATTTAAATCTAATTTAATAATTTTTATTCTATTTTCTTAATTAATACTTTTAGTTG